TTGATGGTGAAAGGCCTCATGGTCGTTCTGGTGGTAGAAAAGATGGAAGCAGGACTGAAGCTGTGAAAACCTCATCAAAGTATGGGATATCAAATGATAACTATGATGTTATTGAGATTCAGACCAAGCCGTTTGATTATGGAAGAGGGGAGTCTGAGTCCGTGTTTGTGAAAAGCAATGAGGTTGTTCTGCTAGCTGACACTAAATTGGCCCCAAGTGCTGAAGTGTTTGATTATTCAAGGTCGGAAATGTCAAGAAATGCACCTGGATCTGGATCCTCTGGTGAAGGTTCAAAAGAAAAATTCATGGATGGTGGTGTTACAATGCCAGATTCATGGAGAGACGACACTGGTTATCAGGCAGAAAATTCTAGAGTCCAGAGAGGTGTTGGGTCGAATCACGGTGCATCAGGCCAAAGTTCTAGCAGTGGCTCACAACTCCCACTTGGAAATCTGGAGCCTGGTTCCTTCAGTAGAGGTGCTTTTCAAGGTGTCAGGGGAAGTAGAGTTGGGAGAGGGGGAAGGGGTAGGCCTCCGGGGAGAGAGAATCAACAGGCTGGTATTCCAATGCCCTTGATTGGATCACCATTTGGACCACTGGGAATGCCACTGCCTGGACCTATGCAATCTCTAACTCCTAACATGTCCCCTGCTCCGGTTCCTCCAATTTCCCCAGGAATATTTATTCCACCATTTCAACCTCCTGTTGTTTGGCCTGGAGCTCGAGGTGTTGAGATGAATATGCTTGCTGTTCCATCTGGTCTCCCACATGTTCCTCATGGGCCCTCGGGACCTAGACTTCCCCCTAATATCGGAAATCCACCAAATCCTGCTTTGTTTTTCAATCCATCAGGACCTGGAAGGGGAACGAGTCCTAACATGTGTGGCCCAAATTTTAATGCTAATGCTCCAGTAGTTCGTGGGCAACCTCAAGACAGAGCCCTTGGAGGCTGGGTTCCTTCTAGATCTAATGGACCCCTTGGCAAAGCTCCTTCTAGAGGAGAGCAGAACGATTACTCTCAAAACTTTGTTGACACTGGTATGCGTCCCCAGAATTTTATAAGGGAACTAGAGCTCACTAGTGTTGTGGAGGACTATCCAAAGCTTCGGGAGCTTATACAGAAAAAGGATGAAATTGTTGCCAAATCTTCTTCTCCTCCTGTGTACTTTAAGTGTGATCTGCGGGAGCAGGTGCTTTCTCCAGAATTCTTTGCGACCAAGTTTGATGTCATTCTCATTGACCCACCTTGGGAGGAATACGTTCATCGAGCTCCTGGTGTGACTGATCATATGGAGTACTGGACATTTGAAGAAATTATGAATCTCAAGATTGAGGTAGGTATTTCACGTGTTTCTGATAATCTGATGTTTCTTTATTTTTTTGTATCTTTTTATCAAAAAATGTAATGGTTGTGATCTATGTTGCTAACTTGTCATCAATTTAAATTTCTCACTTGGAATTTGTATTGTCTATCACTTTTGAGTTAAATTATGCATCCCCAGGACCCCATCCTGGTGTATTCATTGAGTATTATAATTTTTTTTCGTTTCTAACATTTGATACATTTGATTCTTCATTTTTTTTCTATCTATAGTCAATTGCAGACACTCCGTCTTTCATCTTCCTTTGGGTTGGTGATGGTGTTGGGCTAGAGCAAGGCCGACAATGTCTAAAGAAGGTAAGTAATGAGATCTTTAAGAAGATAAATTATTCACTTATAAACTGGTCACATTTATGTTATTTTCTTTTTGTCAATATTTATTGCCCCTCTTTTTTGTCTCTTTGCTTCCCTTTGATTTCTATGATTTAATTCTGTGTATTAATTGAAATTTTTTATTTTTAACTGTCCTTACCTGTTTTATCCAGTGGGGATTTCGCAGATGTGAAGATATATGTTGGGTGAAGACAAATAAAACAAATGCAACCCCGGGATTGCGTCATGATTCTCATACTCTATTTCAGCGTTCAAAGGTTATAAAGTGTTGTCCACTCTCACATAATGTTATAAGTATAATTATTGGAGTCTGTGAAGATACTATTTCTAAAATTCCATATGTTCTTACCAATTATTTTCTTATATGAACAAAAATATTTATGAATCCAGATAAGAATATATGACTTTTGGATGAAAATAATATTATAATATTATGACCAGAAAATCTAAATTGGACATCAATTAATACACAGGTATCTAGGCCATGAAGTCCTTGTTCATAGAAATCATTAAAATTCATTTAGTTCAATATACAGAAATGCTGCTTTTAATTTCTTATAACCTTATTCTAAATGCCTATGTAATGATAAATAACTTCACATATAATCTGACCTATATTTAAGTCCTTGAGCCAGTAATAACGACTTAACATTTAATTGATCATTCGTTTGTTATCTAATTCGAAGACAAAGTAAATATTATCGTAACGATGTAATTTTATGCCTTACTTTTGGTGGTGGCAATTGAGCCACGCTGCTCACAAGCCCTGCTACTTGGCTCGCGAGCAGCCTGGCCCGGCCCGAGCTGAGCTTCCTTGTTAACGTGGCGCACCTAGACGGGCCCGCCCTCAAAAGGCTTGTGAGTTTCATGAGCCAGCTCGTGTGGACTTGTGAGGCCCGCTTGCAAAAGAAGGCCTAAACAAGCCTGTAAATGCATGCTGCTTTTGCAGTATTTGAATGTGATAGACTCATCACATGGTGATTAATGTAGCTGGCTCAAGCATAGAAAAAGGAGGGTTGTAAACTTGTAAAATGTAAATTGTATTATATATTATTAATTATACTACTTTTCTAAATGATTGTGTTATTGTATTTTTTCCAAATGGATTTTTCGTATTTATAAAGCTTGAAAAACATTTGTTTACTTTAATATCATGATTACTGGTAAGAAGCAATAGGATTCCGGGTGATGAAAGGGGATGTGAATAAGTTAGAAGTGTGGTTCTCGGAGTCACCACAGTGCAAGTCTTAGGTTGGCTATAAAATTTATAAATGTTTAAAGAAAGAATAAATACTCAATTTTCACCTTTACCTTATGGTTCACGATCCCACAAGCCGAGCCCAATGGGCCGGCTCGGCTTATTGTCACCCCTAACTCTTTGACTTTAGTTTGAATAAGATCTTAGCATCCGTCAAACTAAAGAATAGTTAACTCTTTCTCAAAAACCTATCATGTCACATTGCTTTTGCTTTCTGATTGCCATCTTTGACAAATTCCAAATCATTATTTTACTGAATACAAGTACTGTAGGTCATGTCTTGAAAAATAGTGGAGTGTTGAAATATTAATTCTGGGATGTTGAACTATGTCAGTGTCTAAGGGTTTTATCTGTTAGTAGAGTTAATCAACTTATGATACATAATTTAAAGAGCTTGAAAGACGATTTTTCTTCTATAGATTCATTCTGACGTCCATGCTGCTGTGTTGCTATTTTATTTATATATTTTGGTGTATGTGGAAAGGTATCTATGTTGGTATATCCAATGTCCTGACACCTGCCTTGTCATCCTTATGAAGGAACACTGCTTGATGGGAATAAAAGGAACAGTACGTCGCAGTACTGATGGTCACATAATCCATGCCAACATTGACACTGATGTAATAATTGCTGAGGAGCCTCCTTATGGTACGTGTAACCTTGGATTTTACTGGTGTAAGTCAGTAGTCCCTCTCTAGTGTTATATTAAAATGCTCTTTATGATTTATTTTCCTATCTTGAAATACTAGATAGAAATTTTAACTTGTCTAGCATTCTGACATTACCTGTTTGTCTATTCTTTGTTTCTCCTTTCCTAGTTCTTTTCATCTGTAAAATTTACCTTCCTCTGGTCAGCTTTCTTATTATTATCCAATTTGTAGCTTGCTTGCTCTAAAGTTGTTGCAATTGATTTTGGTGTCATTACTACTCTCTCCAGGAATTGTTTTTGTTGTTATATGAAGGAAACTGATAGAACAACATTTAGCATTTTATTTTTCTTCCTATTTGCTTACCATGATAAGACTCGCTGGCAGAGAATTGTAGAACTACAGTGTCATACTCTTCGCCTGTTATCTCAACATGCAGACTCCTTTTGAAAAGGAAAACGTATTTCTCTCTCTTCCAATCTTATTTCTTTGTTTCTATATACTATTCTATTCTTCCACATGAATTTAAATGAAATTTGCCAACAATGAAGATTCATATGTTTTAAGCATTGAAAACGTTTTATACCCACCGCCTTCATGTTTAATAGATTCAAGCAATCTTCAAACTAGCCCTGCAAAGATTTCCAGTTTTACACATTTAATCCAAGTACTTTATTTCTACTGCTATTTTTTGTTCTCTCCTTTTCGCTCATGTTCTTCCACGGGACAATACATCTTTCTTTTTAATCATGTCATCAATTGAGATTAAACAATTCTTAAGTATTCCACACCTGTCTTTACTTCTAAGGTAAGATCCAGCAAGCTTCAAACTGTCCCTGTACAATTTTTTTCAGTTTTGCTAATTTGTATCTTAAAGTGTGATCACAGGTTTTTAATGTAATTACATAAAACTACGCATGATATGTGAGAGCGAAGAAGTTGTTCTCTTAGGAAAAGTATAAAAGAATACCCTTAGTTAAGTAATTACGAGCAATTCATTATGCTGGTTGTTAACCATGTAATCCAAACACGTACAGAATTATTTGTACAATCTTGTTGGCTAAACTAGTTTATAATTTCACCACGTTGCAGAGATATATCCTCTCTTGAGATACATTTTCGGTTGGTTCTGACTGGTAATAAACTTCACTGCCAATTATATTTCAGGATCAACTGCAAAGCCTGAAGATATGTATAGGATAATTGAACATTTTGCTCTTGGACGGAGAAGGCTTGAACTTTTCGGTGAAGATCATAACATTCGTTCTGGCTGGTTGACAGTTGGTAAAGGATTATCTTCCTCAAATTTTAATTCTGAGGTAAACTTGCCTGTTTGTTCAATATTAGTAAATTTTTTCAGCTTTTGGCTTCTTGAAATGGAACAGTAAGAATAGCACGAGCTATCCAAGTAAGAATGATATGTGCTATCCATTCTGCACAATCTTTTTGACTAACTGTTGTGAAATGAAATTTTATTAGCATTTAAAAGTGGTTGATCTTCTAGGATATCTGGTGTCATTCTGAGATGATAGTAAAGCTTATAACAGGCCGTGACTGATGGCTTGATATAAAGTAAATGTCTATTGCAATAATATACATATTTGCTAGCTTTCGCTTGAACTTTTTATGGTAAATTGGATAGTGAAATAGGAAAGTAAATAGCCTTTATTATTTATTTTCTGTTGGAAGAGAGTAAATGAGAGTAATTTGGTATCACTGTTTAAGCCACTTTTGTCATGTTTGGTATTATGGAGGATTGGATATCATTAGCAGTGTTCTAAAAAACGTAAAGGTTGGTGAAGTGTGGAGGTCGAGTTTCGGCCTAGGCGAGCTTAGGCGAAGCCTAGCCGTTAAAAAGCGTAAAAAAAACGTTTTCTTATTTTAAAATTTTAAATCAATCTAAAAATTATTTAATAATAATAATAATAATAAAGCGTTGAAAGACGTAAAAAAGCGTAAAAGCAAAAAAATAGTGCGCTAGGCATGCCTAGGCGTGAAAAACAATAAAAAAAGTAAAAAAATGAAAAAGAGCGAAGTGAGTCGTTTTGCTCCCGTTTCGCGCTTAGGTGTCACTTTTTAGAACAATGATCATTACACATTATTTAAGAAGAAATCTTGTTCATTCTGTAGTCTAGTAATCCGTAGCAAACATGCACTTATTGTTGCAACTGTAAAGAGTAATGCTATCCAGCACCAGTCTAGATGTCTACGTTTTATGGGTTCAATTAAATGAGTCAAGTGATTTTGCATTTGAATAAATATATCATTTAATGCTATGTAATTGCCACCTAGATTGGTACTTAAATAACATTACTCAATTGTGAATAACATGCATGGCCCATTTGATTCTCAAATAATACTGTGCCCATATGACAAGCGGTTCAATGTTCAAGGGATTAGATTGTTTTGCTGGATTTCTTCATCTTTGACCTATGATTTTTTTTTTTTTTTTTAAGCTCACTTATTTACTTATAAGAACTTTTTAAGCTTTGCTAAACACACTGACATGTAACTTGGGGATTTTCAGGCATATATTAGGCGTTTCATGGATAAGGACGGAAAAGTTTGGCAAGGAGGGGGAGGAAGAAATCCACCACAAGAGGCACCACACCTTGTCCTGACTACTCCCGAAATAGAAGCTCTTCGTCCAAAGTCACCCATGAAGAACCAGCAGCAAATGCAACAGCAGCAGTCGGCATCTATAACACTGACAACAGCAAATTCCAGCAACAAAAGGACTTCAGGAAATTCCCCACAAAATCATAATGCACCAAATCTAAATCAAGAGGCCTCGAGTTCTAATGTCTCGACTCCAGGTCCCTGGGCTTCACCAATGCAAAGCTTAAAAGGAAGAGAGAGTGGCTATATGGGTTCTGATGATAGGGTTTTCGATGGATACGGTTATAATGCACCATCATTTGGTCCGGCTAATGGAGACTTTTCGGATTATGACACTCAGAGAGGAATGAATATGTTGTAGCCAATTAATCAACATTTGTTGTTCTGTTAACATTTCTTGAAATTTTGTTATTTTTGATAAAAATATTAATCTTTTATATGAAAATGCCTTCCATATTTTCTACTCCTTGGATTTGGATGTAGCACATGAAAGTGGAACGGATGCAGCAAAACCAGCTCGAATTCGGCAAATTCATTCAATAAATGCAGGTTTGGTACATAGAATTATATAATTTCGGGCCTGATAGCAATTATTCTCACTGTATAGTCAAAAGTAGATATATTCTAATCACGGATTGAAATGCTAATGCACATGGATTGAGTTAATAATTTTCCTGCTCTTAAAAAGTAATTTTATTTCTACATGTGATGGCTATTAACGTTTCCTCAGCTTATGATTCCAATTCATCACGGGCCTTTGGACAAGAAGGACTTGTAATGATTGGTATTGTCACATGAATACAGTAATCATACTCATTTTGCCCTTGTATTATTCTCTTTTCTTTTCCAAACTAACGTAGATAAGTATATTTACGACATAAACATGTTTGTATCGAAATTCGTTCTAAAAGACCTTCATCCTTGGTGAGAGCCGAGCCAATTAAGATTCCTTTAGTATAGAAATCTATCTATAATTTTTGCATACGAACATTCTTGAATAAAACATCGAGATATTTTCAAAAGGCAAGTACCTCTCTATGTTTACCGAGTATGATTTTAACAAATAACAGTAAATGGATTTTCACGTTCGATATTGACATCAACAAGCCACATCACCTAAAACTGGTCAAATCAAACCACATTTTTTCAAAAGGAGTAAGGAATGATTATCCATTTCTTACTTTGTTCTTAAGCTACTTATTACTATTTGATACAATTGACATGCCATTAACCCCTGATAGTCTCACCCTTTGGTGACAAGAAGTTAATGAATCCCCAATCAGACAATAAGAACATTACCAAGTGGAACAATTTCATTGGACCTTCATGATAGATACATATGCACATGTTACTAAGAATGTAATTAACAAAATATGTCTAGTGGGCTTTCTTACTTTGTTTATAATATAAGACCAACAACAATTAGGACCAACCATAATGTCATTTTCAATGTTTTCACATGGCACTAATCAATATCTCCATGTCCAAATCCGCAAATACTATAATTATTAGACTCGACCTAGATTATGAACAAAATAAAATCATCAAATTTGGTATTCGATCTTCCAAGTTATTGATTATATCACGGGCTCCCATTTTGAGTTTTAACAATATTATCGTTAATTCTGTACTAATTCAAACTCTTATATGAGTTTGGACTCGTGAAAAATCTGACACTACTCATACGCAAGTGATTGTTGAATCTAATTGCTATCAAAAATAAAGAAGATAGATAAATTATAAAATTTACCAATTCGTTATATAATCGTATGTGCCAAAATATACCGAACATATCATAAATATTGGATTACCTCGAAGCATTGAATAGGTAAATTCCAAAATGATCCTCGTGAACTTGCTTTATCTTTATATAGATGATTAAGACATGAAAATATGATATTTTCGTTCCTTGTATCTTCCAACTTGTAAAAAGTTCTGCAGTTCGCTTCCTCTTTCTTGTGGGTTGATCATGGCCGTTAATTCATTTGATGAAGAGTGTGATTATCTGTTCAAGGCTGTTCTGATAGGGGATTCAGCAGTTGGGAAATCAAATATTCTTTCAAGATTGTCCAAAAATGAATTTCATTTAGACTCTAAACCAACCATAGGAGTTGAATTTGCTTACAAGAATATTAGGGTAGGTGATAAGCTCATCAAGGCTCAGATATGGGACACTGCTGGACAGGAAAGGTAATCCCTTCTTTTATTACGCGAAAACTTACAATTTTTTACAGTTTTTGGTGCCCGGAATTGGCCAGGATAGATGGATAGTCTATCTTCTTTAATTTTGTCTGTTTTTGTTGAGTTAGGGGCGAAAAAAAAATGTTGAAATCTTTGTATCTATAGTGTTTTTTGCCCGATGGGTTTCTCTCGGTTTAGTGGAAGTTTAGAATCTTGGATTACTAAAGCGGAAAAGAGGAAAATCTGAATTTTCTTTGCACTTATTCAAGGTAAAGAATGAGGATCATGTTCATACAATTTTGCACTTCTCTGTAAATATAATCTGTGTTTTGGGTAACGAATAAGTTGTAAATATATGAAGAATTATCCAGTATTGTGTAACAAACGTGTATTAAAAGGTTTCACTCATTCAATATGCAAATAGTCTTAAATTATGTCATTTGATTATGGCTCAAGGAATAGTTCTTTAGTTGCTCTGCTTCTGCAATCTTGTTGACATGAGAAACAATATTTTGTGTAGATTTAGGGCCATCACAAGTTCGTACTACCGTGGAGCACTAGGTGCCTTGCTCGTCTACGACATAACGAGGCGGGCGACGTTTGAGAATCTGAAAAAATGGCTTTATGAAGTAAGGGAATTTGGAAGCTCAGACATGGTGATTATTCTTGTTGGCAACAAATCTGATTTGAGTAATTCAAGAGAAGTCAATGTAGAAGATGGGCAAAGTTTGGCACAATTAGAAGAAATAGCTTTTATGGAAATATCTGCTAAAGAGAATTTGAATGTGGAAGAGGCATTTCATCAGATGGTTAGAAGAATTCATGAAATAAACAGCAAAAAAGACTTGGAAATGAAGAAAACAAATGATGAAAGGGCTGGTTCAATCCTGCAGGGGACAAAAGAAATTATATGCATTGATGAAGTATCTGCCTCTACAAAAACTAGTCATTGTTGTTCATATTGAACACCACTTTCTATTTATTTTTTGTTTTTTAAAGGGCGGATGAAGCATATAACTGTTACTTAACAAAGCATATAACAAATATGGCGACTTCATTTGGGTCTTCGGTCGATTGAAAACTGAGCACTACTAAGTAAAAGTTCGGGACTAGGATAGGACATGAAAAGTTGAGCATCTACTTGCTATATTTTGTATAAGGCTTTCTCAATATTAATCCCTTTCTTTTGTTTATTGTTATTAGTTTGAAGGTCTTTTGTTGTTCATTTTTAACATTAATCGACTTACTTTTCTTCCATGATTAACGAAAAATTCTTATGATTTGTAGCTCAATTCACTAGAGCTTAATATACCTATTCCTATGTGGCTTTTCACATGACAATGCGATTTATTGACCTTATATGGAGTGAAGAAGCTCATGACCGAAGATACAAGAAATCTTCTAGAATGTTAGAAACGACGATATTGTAAATTTAGATCACGACCTAGTTTAAACTGAGGAGGTTTAAGCTCGTGCAATGTAACGTGAGGCATTCTTGAAGTTGCACAACGATGCTCAAATTAGAATTTGATTTATCAAATATGAGTTCATCTCGCATCAAAATCATTAATATTAGGGAAAATTGCAGCCACGGTACCAAACCTTTAAACTTTTTGCAGATTTTGTCCAAACTTTTGTTTTGTGTCACCTACAGTACCAAATCTTGAAACAATTCACACCCGAAGTCCAAATGAACGGTTTCCGTCCAGTTGACCACGAAAACCGTTAGCTGACCTTAGAAATAAAAAAAAATTATAATTTCCACTAGATAGGCAAGGGCAATTTCGGAATTATACATAATTTCCACCAAATAAGTTTAAAAAATGAATTAAAAATTCCAAAAAAATTTTTTTTTTAAAAAAATGTTCATCTCCTTCCTCACCCCGCCCCACCCACCACACCACATGAAAAATCAACCACCATCCAGCCACGCTGGCCACCACCATCGTCGGTAGACACACGGAGGCTAAATAAAATCAAATTAGTTGCTCATGAAACTAAGCGTAAAGGTATAAAGTTAAGCCCACACCCCGCCCGCCCAATTGAGCCCTACGAAACCATCTCAAAGGCACCGATTTGTCCATAAAATACTATATATCTTACCGACATTGAGAGAATGAAGGATAGAGCAGGGGGAGAGGATCAGCGCCAACGATGGCTTTAGTGGAGGAGAGCTACACACAGTGGAAATCACTTGTACCTGTGCTCTACGACTGGCTCGCCAATCACAACCTCGTTTGGCCCTCTCTTTCTTGTCGGTAGTTTTTTTGCTCTCTTTCTCTCTAGGGCTTTGTGGGATTCTTATATGAAACTATATGTATGTATATATTCCTGCTTTTTTTTTTTGGTGGTGGGAGGTGGTGGAGGTCGGCGTGGCTGGATGATGGTTGATGTGGGGTGGGGTGGGAGATGAACAATTTTTTTTTTAATTTTTTTGGGATTTTTAATTCATTTTTTAAACTTATTTGGTGAAAATTGTGTATAATTCCAAAATTGCCTTGCCTATTTGGTGGAAATTATAATTGTTTTTTTATTTCTGAGGTCAACGAACGGCTTTCGTGGTCAACTGGACGGAAATCGTCCATTTGGACTTCGAGTGCGAATTATTTAAATATTTGGTACCGTGGGTGGCACAAAACAAATGTTTGGGCAAAGTCTGTAAAAAATTGAAAGATGTGATACCGTGGCTGCAATTTTCCCTTAATACTAACTTAGCACATGAATATACTATTACAAAATTCTTGTGAAGGAATATGTTGCAATTCATGCAAAAAAGAACGAATCGTAAATGTTTTGTTTTATAAAATTTTGCATTTATGATATTTAATATAGCAAAGTAATATAAAAGATCTATAATTAAGTAAGGCTTATTAGTGCAATACCCCCAACATAAGAACTTATTGTCAAATACCTTTTTAAATTGGCTTAAAAACCTTCATGTATGACATTTGAGGTGCAGAAGACCCCATTTTTTTATATTTTCTTTTGTGAAATGACATCCCCTATTTAAATAAAACAAAAGGAAAAATGAAAAAAAAAATAAATAAATAAAGAACTAATTTCAAATGTAGTCCCAAAATTTTAAAAATAATAATAATAAAAAAAAAAAAAAAAAAACGAGTCCCAAATAAATAATTTAAAAATTTTAAAATATAAAAATAAAAATCCATTTCTCTCCCATGCATCTACCCCCTCTTCCCACCAACACGGCCATCGCCGGAGCCACAAATGTGTATTCCTTCTGACCACATAACCATGGACTGAGTTTCCAGCACTCCACAACCTCAACTCACCGCAGGAAGAAAAATAAGCTACAGAAGAATAGATCATTGTTTGGTGAATTTTGTTTCAAATTGTTTTATGTTTCCTGATCATCAATTAAGTGTTTGATAGGAAAAAGTGATTTATCATTATGCATGTATATAATTACTAAAATGGATATTGAATAATTGCATTACATGGATTAGACGTTAATAAATATTAAATAGTTTAATCAATATTTAAATTAATTAACCATTTATAATTTTAGAAATCCTTATCAATCAAATAAAATTACATATTTAAAAAAAGTTAGGATAGCAATTCACATTTATCAATAATCTATACATAACTTTAAGCATTAGTATTCTTAATATTATTGAATTGTACTAGTCCTAATATCAAATAAATAAACAAACCAAAAAGATCAATATTCATAACTATAAAACTATACATATTGAATCAAAATTCGATGCCATGATCACGACTTGAATTACTTTCCGTACGTCGATACTTTGAGGAGTACGCTTCAGTGTGAAATGGGATTACTAGTGCCGCTATCAACTTGCATTTGGCTGTACAAGTTTCAAAAGATGAGAAAAAGTTAAAAATGCAAAGAAAATTCTCCAAACGAAATGGTGATCTTCCGCTACAACAAGAAATATCAACGAACGGAGGTATATATACTTAAAAAGACACGACTTTTCACTGTTAAAGAGCTAGCGAAAGCCACTAACTATAATGAAAGTCGAATTCTTGATCAAGGAGGGCAAGAAGCAGTCTATAATAGAATGTTACCTGACGGAAAAATCATAGCAACAAAAAAATCCAAGTTAGTAGATGAAAATCAAGTGGAGCAATTCATTAACGAGGTTGTCGTTTTCGCAAGGTATTCATAGGAATGTAGTTAATCTATTAGAATACTGCCCAGAAATAGAGGCTTTTTAACTAGTTTATGAATTCATTTGCAATGGAACCCTTTTCGATCATATCCGTGACAAGAATGATGAGTTCCATTGTCATGGAACATGCACTTGAAAATTGTTGTAGAAATCACAAAAGCACTTGCCTGACTAAATTTTGCTACTTAATCCCCATATATCATCGAGATATTAAGTCAATTAACATACCGCTTGATGAAAAATAAGTAGCAAATAAAGTCTCAACCATAGAACTTTAGGTCAATCGCAGTGGATCACACTTATTTAACTATCATAATTGTTGGAATTTGATGCCATTTGTGACATTTACTTTCTAACCATTTTATGGGCAATGATGAAATGGGCTTGGCCCAATAGTCCTGGAATGTTTTTAAGACTAAAACCATTACCTGGTAACACAAAGCAATTGTCCTAAACCTCGGCCAAATTGGTTACCCACTCGAGCTGCTCTGGTCCGTTTTATAAATGGGTTGATCTATTGGTCGTTTTAGCTTGGGCTTTGATATATACCAGCTGTAGCGTCATTCTGGGTAGAATTATTCGTTCCCTCTCTCTCGTCTCTGGAAGCTTCTGGCTGTTTCTGCGCTTTGAGTTCTTTATGATCTCTTTTCCCTTTATTAGTGAATCTTGGGTTGGATTTTAACTACTGGTTTTAACCCTTTTGATAATCTTGGTGATTAGTTGCCTTTGTGGTTGTTTGTACGAGAGAGGAGTAGTCCGATTTTGGCTGTGAGTTTGTCTTCGAGCCATTCAGTAACCTTGTATGGTTTAGATTAGGGGTTTTGGGTGTTTGTAGTTATTGCTTTGTACAGAAGGGTGCAATGATTTGTTCTGAGCCCAAAATGCAATAAGAATCCATTTCTTGCTTTGTGCGATATTGTGCTGTTAATTTCTGATTTGTGATTCCGTTGTTGGTTTATTTCCTTACAAGTGGTATCAGAGTGTTAGTAAGGCGTGATTAAGTCTTCGATTGATGGTTTGTTACTAGAAAATTGATTTCCAGTTGATGTTCTAAAATCGAGTGGATTAACAGAAACCCTAACCCTAATTTTTTTTATTATTCCTTTTCTGATTTGACCTCTAATCCTTTCTCTGTTTGTGTTTTTTGCGAGGAACCTGTTCTTAGTGAACTGATTAGGCGATTGGACTGCTAGCTAGGATCCTGCAGATTCTCCAATTGATTCTTCTTTGTGCTGGTTCTTTGAACCAGCTTAGTGAGCCTTCATAACCCACTGATTTCTTATGTTTCTTGATTAT